CACAGGGATGCTGCCTGGGAGGAGGACGGGGCCTTCGCCGACCATCACGTGCGGCACAGCTCCTGTGATGCCAGCCAGTGCCTGTGCCCAGTGGGACGGGAGGAGGCGGAGGAGAAGGGGTGAGTGCTGGTGGTCCCGGTCCCCACAGCCCCAGTGAGGAGCCAATTCCTTCATCTCCTCCTTTGGGCAGGGATGGAGGTTCCCTGGGATGCTGAGCTGGGCATGGCGCAGGGTGCGTGCCAGCAGCTCAACCTCAGCTGCTGGGGAGGGGACCAGAGTGGAGGTGGATTCAGCACAGTGCCGGGGCTGGAACCCCACAGCTCAGGGGCCTTTGGTGACAGTGGGTCCCGTTGCCCCCCCAGGCCCTGGAGACTATTGCTCTGCACCTCCTGTGGCTCCCGTGGGACCCACCAGCTCTGCTCCGCCGTGGGGGAAGACGCTGACTCCTGGGAGTGTGGTGACTGCAGCAACGCTGGCACCGGTGAGGGGTGCAGCCGGGGGGACAGGGTCCCCAGGGCCACGTGGCCACCACAGCCAGCTGGGATCTGGGGACAGGCGCAGGGCTGTGACCCAAGAAGGGAAGGAGTGTGGCGTGGGCTTGTTGTGCTCATCATCTCCCTGCCCCTTGCAGTGCTCCCCATTGCAGCCGTCGCAGACTCCAGCCCCCCGGCTCCGGGACCCTTGCACAGTGCCCCGGCTCCTGGCACTTTGGCTGAGGTAAAAGAGGCCAGGATCCTTGAAGAACACCCCGACAGCCAACTGCCCTCTGAGCCCATGTCCAACGAACGTGCCGATCTTCCATAATAAAAGGTTTTTTCATATTTTCCCTAGTGTCATGGTTTCAGCCCAGCCGGTAACAAAGCACCACGAAGCTGCTCTCTCACTCCTCCTCCCTGGCCCCGGTGGGATGAGGAGAAAGTATAAAGAAAAGCTCGTGGGTCAAGACAAGGACAGGGAGGGATCACTCACCAGTTATGGTCATGGGCAAAAGACAGGCTCATCTCGGGGAAGAAACAAAATCAATGTAATTTACTACAAATCAAATCAAAACAAGGATACTGAGAAGTAAAGCCATACCTGAGAACACCTTTCCCCCACCCCTCCCTCCTTCCTAGCTCAAGTCCATTCCCGAATTCTCTACATCACCCCCTCCAGCGGCGCAGGGGGACAGGGAATGGGGGTTGGGGTCAGTTCATC